AAAGGTTCTAAAGGAATGTAAAGGGGGCTTAGCACCCCTTTTGGCTAATTTTTAAAACATATCATACAAACTGGCATGGTGCCAGAAAAGTGGAAAAGGGGCAAAGTGATACCTATTTTCAAAACAGGGACAGGTCCTTACTTCGAACTATAGAAAAATAAGCCTAACCCCCATGGGGGAAAAATTTAGGAATCAAAAATTTCCGAGGCATTTTCGTAGCCCCTTTTGAAAAGCAAAAATTAATCAACGAATCTCAGAAAGGGTTTTTAAAAAGGGACTTTCCTGCCTTACGAATTTATTAACTTTTTTCACTAAGGTATTTGAGGGGTAATCAGGGTAACAAATATGATAGTGTATAGGACTCATAAGGTTTTTGACAGAGTCCCACATCAAGACATTGAGGAAAATTAAAGCACATGGAATAGGGGAGAAATTTTTTCCGGGATAGAGGCAGGTTGACAAAGAGGCAGCAGAGAGTTTGAAAAAAAAGGGGGGGGAAAAAAAAAAAAATAAGGGGGAAGCGTCACGAGCGGTGTTCCCCGGGGGTCAGTTTTGGGCCCCCCCTGTTTTCAAAATCTACATAAACGACATAGATGAGGGATAAAGAGCGCATCGGCAAGTTTGCCGAGACACCAAAATAGCCGTCAAAAACTTTCTGACGAGGACATTCGAGCACTCCGGGAAGATTTGAATAGACTGTGCAGGGGTCGAAAAGGGGGCAAGCATTTTAATATAGACAAATGCAAATTTTAAATGTTGGGACAGGACAAAACCTGCCACATATAAACTAAAAAAATAATTTTAAAAATTTACGGATTGCAAAAAAGATTTAGGATTCGGTTAGCGAAAATCTGAAACCAAGACAACATGCAAAGTGTTCGCAAAAAAAGCTAATAGAATCCTTGGCTTCATATCAAGAAGCAAATAATAGGATCCTCAGGTTGTTCTTCAACTCAATACATCCTTGGTTAGGCCTCATTTAGATTATGCTGCACAGTTTTGGTCACCGTATTTACAGAATGGATATAAATTCTCTGGAAAATGTACAAAGGAGGATGACAAAGATGTCCCATGTATCAAAACCTTCCCTATGAGGATAGACTAAGGGCCCTGAAACTGCACTCTCTAGAAAGACGTAGAATTGGGGGGGATATGATTGAGGTTTATAAGTGGAAGACGGGAATAAAAAAAGGGGATGTAAATAGTGTGCTGAAAATATCTAGCCTAGACAGGACTCGCAGCAATGGTTTTAATTTGGAAAAATTCAGATTCAGGGGGGATAAAGGAAAGTACGGGTTTGGTAATAGAGTTGTGGATGAGTGGAACAAACTCCCAAGTACCGTTATAGAGGCCAGAACGTTGTGTAGCTTTAAAAATAGGTTGGATAAATACATGAGTAGATGTGGGTGGGTGTGAGTTAGACCTGATAGCTTGTGCAAACAGGTCGGTTGCCGTGTTCCTCCCTTAAGTCAATGTGCCCTTTGACCTACTAGTTGGGTGCATTGGCTTAAGCCGGTAGGGATTTGGGACCTCCTCGCATGGGCCAGTAGGCCTTCTGCAGTGTTCCTTCGTTCTTATGTTCTTATGTTCTTAATCTTCATGACTTTGCACTTGGTGGGATTGAACTTCAGGAGCCAATTGCTGGGCCAGGTCTGCAGCCTGTCCAATCCCTTTGTATTTTTGGCCTGGTTTTTCCGATCGAATGAATTCTCTCATCAACTTCAACGTCATCTGCAAACAGGGACACCTCGGAGTTTATTCCTTCTGTCATGTCGTTCACAAATACCAGAAACAGCACTGGTCCTAGGACTGACCCCTGTGGGACCCCGCGGGTCACAGGTCCCACTCTGACACCCTCCCACGTACCAATACTCGCTGCGTCTTCCGACAAGAAATTCCTTGATCCATCGTAGTCCCCTTCCCTTTTATCCCTGCTTGGTCCTCCAGTTTTTGCACTAATCTCTTGTGTAGTACTGTGTCAAACGCTTCTTGCAGTCCAAGAAGATGCAATCCCCCACCCCTCTCTCTCTTGTCTTATTTGCTGTCACCTTGTCGTAGAACTCCAGTAGGTTTGGGGACACAGGATTTCCCATCCCTGAAACTATTTTGGGCTGCTGTTGATGAATCATTCCTTTCTAGGTGTTCCACCACCTTTTTCTCCTGACAATCTTCTCCATGACTTTGCATACATACATGTCAGTGACACTGGTCTGTAGTTTAGTGCTTCATGTCTGTCTCCTTTTTTAAAGATTTGGGGCCACATTTTCTGTCTTCCATGCCTCAGGCAATCTCCCTGTTTCGATAGATGTATTGAACATTGTTGTTAGGGTACACATAGTGCCTCTGCTCCCTCTCTCAGGACCCATGGAGAGATGTTATCTGGCCCCATTGCCTTTGAGGTATCTAGCTCACTCCCGAAGCCTCTTCACTTCTTCCTCGGTTGTGTGTACTGTGTCCAGCACCTGGGGGTGTGCCCCACCTCTCCGTCTTTCTGGAGCCCCTTCTGTCTCCTCTGTGAACACTTCTTGCAATCTCTTGTGATTCCTTACATACTTCATGGTCATTTCTTGTTGTCTCTCCTTTCCCTTTCCCTTCCTTTGCCTGATTACCCCGGTCCTTGACTGTTGTTTTCCTCCTGAAGGGCTGTATAACATTTTCGGGTCAATTTGGGTTTCGCTGCATGTCGTTTTCATATTGTCGTTGGGCCTCCCTTCTTATCTGTGCATATTCGTTTCTGGCTCTACGAATGCTCTCCTTATTCTCCTGGGTCCTTTGCCTTCTGTATTTCTTCCATTCCCTAGCACACTTGGTTTTTGCCTCCTTGCACCTTTGGGTGAACCATGGGCTCATCCTCGCTTTTTCATTATTCCTGTTTCCCTTGGGTACGAACCTCTCCTCAGCCTCCTTGCACATTGTTGCTACATATTCCATGATCTCATTAACTGACTTCCCTGCCAGTTCTGTCTTACTAAACTTCGTTCAGGAAGTTCCTCATTCCCATGTAGTCCCCTTTCTTGTAGTTTGGTTTCATTTGTTCTGGCCTTCCTGCTTCCCCCTCCACTTGTAGCTCTGCTGTGTATTCGAAGCTCAAAACCACATCATCGCTGGCCCCAAGGGGTCTTTCATATGTGATGTTCTCAATATCTACACTACTCAAGGTGAATACTAAGTCTAGTCTTGCTGGTTCATCCTCTCCTCTCTCTCTTGTAGTGTCCTTTACGTGTTGGTACATGAAGTTTTCCAGTACCACCTCCATCATCTTAGCCCTCCATGTATCTTGGCCCCCATGTGGCTCCAAGTTCTCCCAGTCGATCTCCTTGTGGTTAAAGTCACCCATGATCAAGAGCTTTGCCCTGCATGCATGAGCTCTTCTGGCCACTGCAGCCAGTGTGTCAACCATCGCTCCATTGCTCTCATCATACTCTTGCCCTGGCCTCCTGCTGTTCTGTGGTGGGTTATACATCACTGCAATTACCACTTTGGGACTTCCAGAGTGAAGTGTTCCTGCTATGTAATCACTTTCTTCTCCTCTGTCTCCTCTCTCCAGCTCGTCAAAATTCCATTGGTATTTGATCAGCAGTGCCACTCCTCCACCCCCCCTGTTCCTTCTGTCTTTCCTCAGGATCTGGTATCCTGTTGGAAAGATGGCATCTGTTATCATACCTGTAAGCTTGGTTTCTGTGAGTGCTATGATGTCTGGTGATGCCTCTTTGACTCTTTCATGCCACTCCTCCCACTTGTTTGTTATTCCATCAGTGTTTGTGTGCCATACCTTCAGTTTCCTCTCCAACACTGTGGTTTGGGGGGCCTCTGGGGGTCGGAGACCTGGTAGCATACTGTGGGATTCTAGGGTTGGGGGTTGGGAGGAAGCTGTGGGTATGTACTGTAGTGTGTGTTGGGGTGGTGTGATAGGTTGTGGGGTTCTGAGGATAGTTGTGTGTGTGCTTGCCCTTGCTGCTCTGTTCTGCTCTGACTGACCTCTGCTGGTTCCATCCTTGTCTCCTTTCCTAGTTCCTTTCGCTTTTTTGCCCTCTCAACTGCTGTCGCTCTGTTTGTGTTCTGTCTCTGTCTAGGAACACCTTCTTGTACTCTTCCAAGTTTTTCAACCGTGGTTTCTCTTGGAAGATCCTGTTCCGCACTGTTTCTGTCCTGAGAATCAGCTTGATTGGTCGTTTTCTCCCCTTCAAGTACCCCCCTATTCTCTGAAAATTTACAATCTTGTCCATGTCTTCTCCCCCTATTTCCGTGATGATTTTTCAATCTCCTTTCTTTCTTCCTGCCTTCATTTTCTCTCCTGAATCCCATGGATAAACACTGATTTTGCCCTTTCCTCCTTCCATTCCCTCTCCCTCTGTGACTCTAGTTCCTGTCTGTATGTGGTCATTTT